TACCACTGCTCAAGCATTAACGCGGCGAACTTTGAGATCCTCATGGTAGAGTAATATATATCCTAGCATGATGGTAGCTCCAGGTTCAGTAAAGTGCGCTATTATGAGCAAATTGCTGAGGAGAATCACAAGGAAAGATGCACGTAGCTGTGAACTGTTGTTCCTGCAATAATAGCTGATGAAATGCAAAAACGATGTGATATGCAGAGTATATCCATGCCACTATTGATTCAGCAGAACCACATAGCTCTGTCTTATATTTGACCACAGTTGAGCCTATCTACGCATAGTTGCAGACAAAGAGTGAATGGAAATCCTGGATTGTCACTTCAAATATTTGATCTGCTGAAAAAGGCTTTACTACGAGAGTTCAGTCAATCTGCTGTTCAGAAACGCGAGCTATTAGTGCGATCTTTTTGCTCTTATCTATTCCAATGGGACAAAAGAAGTTATGGAACTGCGAACTTTAGAGGAAGATGGAGCCACCAATTGTATGAAATCGACCTTTTCTTTTTCATTTCTCACTACCACTCTAGTCTCTGTAGGCCTCAGAGATAGTTCGCTTACTTGAACATTCTTCTCATAGCAAACAAATTTGCCAAAAAGAAAGCTAAACGCCGATGATAAATACAAAACGGCATTTGCTCTTTTGGATTTAGGTTACAAAATATCAGGTACACTATGGACAATGCATGTTTCTTCCTAAAAAGTTGTACTCCCTCCGTTCCTAAATATAAGTCTTTGTAGAGATTCCACTAGGTGGACTACATACGGAGCAAAATTAATGAATCTAAACTTAAAATGCATCTATATACATCCGTATGCGGTTTATAGTGGAATCTCTACAAAGACTTATATTTAGGAACCGAGGGAGTACATGTCAGTGTCATAGTAGAGATCGGTGTGTGGTCCAATCTTGCTTTAAGTTAGATCCTTGTAATTGATGTAACGTTAAACCTTTGGCATTTCTGCTAGCTGAAAGGGCAACCAGGTGTAGTGAATAAAGTTAAATCTATGATGGGAGTGATAAGTGGTCCCTTCTCTATAATGCAACCAATTTCATAATCTGGGAGTTTGATTTCTTTCTTTTTTTACTAAAGTGTTATGGCACTCTTTTCCTAAATATGCTCGGAATACACTCTGTCCCGGCCTCAGTTTGTGCTATAAGACACAAACTGTTATTAGTGCTTGTGCCTTGGTTTGTACTTTTTCTATTGGTTTGTAATCGTTCTCCCTTTTTTAATGCTCCTCGAGCATGTTTGACTGATTCTGTTTCATATCTCTTAGGCCTTGTTCGGTTAGGCAGGGTTTGGAGTGGTTTGAAAGGGATTGGAGGGGATTAAATCCCTTGCAAGTCAAAATCCTTGTCAAACCTCTCCAATCCCCTCCAATCCCTGTGGCGAGGGGATTAAACGAACAGGGCCTTAGTAATTTCTAAAGGCCTGGTTTGTTGAAAATAAATGCCCGATAATTATTGGAGCATATAAAATGTCCTTAGCGGCAGAGTTGTCACTCTGACATCTGGCTGTGGGAATGACTGATTACTCTTTCGACATGACAAATTTTCGGCATCTTTATCTATCGCATTGTTCCCGCAAGTTGATCAGTTGCATTGGGCCATTGGTACACGGAGATGCTGAATATGACGACAGATTACCCATTGTTCATGAACAGAACATGTTCAGAAACGGCGATAATTGAGTAGAATAATTTCGCTGTGACGTTGTGCACACGTACTAGCTGGTGGCTGCTATGCTTTGTTCTTGAGCAGTGCACTTCCATTATTCCATAACTTTATGTTGAGACATATGGACAGTGTTCTGATTGCCCTTTTCCTGAACAACTATTGTAGTAGGTTTCCTGACGGGCACCGTCTACTTGCCCAGTTCAATGGTTCTGCTACTCTACAGACTACAGTAGCCGATGTGAAGTATGCAATCCTTGAGCTGCCCAGGCATCGGCAATGAATCCACGAGGAGCATGCCGGTGAAGTACAGCGGAGGTGCAGGAGTTCGTCGGATCTTCTCAGGATGATCTAACCCTTGCACTTCAGAGTTGGATCACAGGTACACGCACCCTGTCCTTCACTGAAGAAAAATACAGCTATCATTTACAGTGCGTGATACAAATCAAAGAATTTCCGCTACCTCTAACTTTGGTAATTATCGCGTAAATAACATTATTATTGGTCAAGTTGAATGAATACAGTGAATTAGAATTTCCATGAAACATACTAGTATTTTCTTTCTTCATACGTCTCTTACCGACATATATTCGTATAAAAGGCAACGTTAAAAGCTGATGGCAAGAGCTGTTGAGAATAACAGAAATGCAGACTCTAGCATGGACAGGCCACTAACAACACACAGCTTTCTCTTTCTCCTGGACTATGATAGGTTTCGCCGGTATTGCGGCATGCACATCGTCGTGGTCCTGGGCGGCAAAGGCGAACCGGAATCTGGAATCTCCGCGCTCGACCTCTACCTCTTCCTCAATTATATCGCCCATTTGCAGCTGCAGAATCTGAATATTTGCGCAAAGGCGGAACGCGGACATGACACGCCCGAAAGCGCGGCGGCGTCCATGCCGTCGACCTCCGCGGTCACCACCGCGCCCAGTGGAAATGGAGGACACAGAGACCGGAAAGCGACGCCGTCCGCTGTGCCGCCACTTTCACCCCGCACGAGCAAAAGCCGTTGGAGGAGCAGAGCACGAAACTAACCCGTGGTTAGCTACCGCTGCCACTTCGCCGGGACGAGAAGAACTCGGGAGGGAGATGGAAACAAATGGGAAAGCAGGGAGCGAAAGCGAGAGCACGGAAATGCACCGAGCTAGGTCGGCCGGCACACGGGGCGCCCACTTCACCGGCCCTGCGTGCGTGGTCGCGTTGGATTTGCATGAATCTTGCGCGTAGCCCCACGGCCTCGCAAAGTCGCAAGTTGCGCTGCGCCGGGGTGCTTTTGGCCCCTCGGCGCGTGGCCGGAGCCAGTGCCAGTGCGCGCGCCACTGGGAGGGACGTCGTATTGGGTGTGCGTGTGTGAGGGACGTCGCATGGGGCAGGCCATGATGGCGGCGGCAGAGCGGCAAAGGCCGGCCGGCCGGCCGCTAAACAAAGCCGGATGGTTAGCGGCAGAGGGGACACCAACCACCTCGTCCCCGTGGGATTCAGTTCAGAGACGGCTAGCTCGCTGGCCGTGATGCGGAGCTTTGCGACGCTGATGATGAGGTTTTGGTTAGTCCTGCTTAGTTTTCAGGTCCGCTTTTTCGGCTTTGTCGTGGCCGGACCAGGCGGCCCATTCGCCGGCCACCGGCGTATTATTATAGCCGGCTAATGCGATCTGGGGGCACTGATGGAATTGGCCGGGCAGTGGGCGAGGGCGAATGATTCGCCGGGGAGGAAAGCGGAGTGGTCAGGTCGGGACGTCAGGTGCTCCGCCAAAAGAGCGACGTGACACAAGTCACGGAGCTGAATCTTCCCCGCGCACGAGAGCTGAGTCACCCACCACCACGAGCCAACGGGCGGGCACCGCCCGATCCAGCCACCGTTGCCGACGACAGTTTACCATGCATTCCGTCGGCGCCGGGAGGTGCTGGTGCGGCAGTAAGCTGCTGGGAATCATTGCCCTGCTACGAAGCGCGCCCGCTGCAACCGCCTCCAGAGTGTGACAGACAATCACTGTGCGCCACTGGAGCTCTGGGACCGGCCGGCACCTGCATGCTGCACGTACGTCCGGAGACGGTGAGGGCCAGGCGTGTGTGCGCGCAAGCTGGGTGATGAGTGGACGAATGAGTGAGGCTCACTGCTGCGGCCGTGCCCGTGCCCGTGCCCTCGACAGCGTGCGCCCACCGCCACTGATGAAGAATGGTGCGAGCGTACAGGGCCGGCCGTGGCCGGCGCCGAGGCTTTGCTTTCCTTTTGCTTTGGGAAGGAAGGGGACGAAAAGGGAGACGACAGCGAGAAGGACATGGGATTCGCTGCTGTTGGGGCATGTGATGCTTTTCTTTTGGCTTGCTCGCGCGCTGGCCGGGCTGGGTGGACCTCCAACTCACCCCCTCCCTATTACTCCTACAGTATATTGATGCTGCGTGCAGCGTGCCAGCCACTATCAGGCAAGGCAAGGCACTTCTCGTCGACCTGATTGACGAATCAAATTGATACTCTCCTTTCTTTCTTTCTCCCAGCAACTGGCCAACTGGGAGTCAGCCAGAGGTGGCGCGGAGGGAATCGCCAGGGCGGACGGAGCCCGGCACCTGCGCATGGGCGGGCAGCAGGAGCAAGGAGCACGAGGCGGACTAGTTTATGCCCGGGCCTGCGAAGATGAGAATTCAATATTTGTGGCGGAGACTACGGACGGAACGAGATCGATCGGCATTAATGAGAAGCCCGGTCGCCAGGCTAGGCCGGCAGCACATGGCATGGCATGGAGGATTTCAGGTGAGGTGAGCGAGCGAGAGAGCGAAGCCAAATCGAAACTTCTCACGGGGAGGCGGAGGCGGTGCAGCAATGGCGACGGATCTCGCGAAAGCTTCTCACACGCATAACTAGCAACGATAAACTGAAAGAAGCGCTCTAACCAAATTTCACACCGGTGCGAGCTCCTGATCGGAGCCGCCGGCCGGCGACAACGGCGAACGAGTACAAGCTTCATGAACTGCTTATTTCAGATTTTCGGTACAGTGGCCGTATACTTGTGGCGGGGTTATGTACACTGGACGGCACGATCGGTGGGTTCTTGAGCTTCTCCATGGACGCAGACCTGCACGTACGCTCAACACCGCCGTGTCGCTCTCAGATGTTTTCGCTTGCGTTCCATCATCCGAGTGTCGGTCGAGAGAGACACAAGCACAGCGACTCTGCAACCAAACTGCTCTCGAGGCAAGCAGAGCACGTCCGCCTGCCTCGTCCCTGGTGCGGTCGCGCCCGTGGACGCGATGATGGTGATAGGTGGCCGCCGCTGTTTTGTCCTCCGTGCGGGCTTCGCCGCGGCGAGAAAGCTCCGTCACAGCTGGCCGCATTGAATCTGCAGGAGGAGCGAGTCGTCGAGGTCGAGGCCCGCGCCGTCCATGAACGAGCTCTGGTGCTCGAGCTTCACGTTGCCATAGGGGTGGCCGCCGCCGAGCGTCCCCGCTGGCAGCGTCGGCGGCATGAAGGCGTGCCGTTGCCCGCCGTACGACGGCGAGGGCTTCGTGTCGACGGTGGTGAGCGCGGACGGCGGGGACCCCGAGGGGCTGCCGCGGTCGTCGTCGTCGGGCACGTTGACGGTGGTGATGTCGTGGATGCTGGAGCGGCGCTTGTTGTCCTTGCCGCCGGAGGTGAGCCGGATGAAGTACTTCTGGGCGTGGCTGGCCACCTGCGTCGGCGTGCGGCTCGTCACGTAGTTCCGCGAGATGTTCCTCCAGTCGCCTCTCCCGTACTTCTTCAGCCCCTTCAAGAACAGCCTGCACGCAGCGCACGAACACGATCAGATTTCCACCAACAACAAGCAACAATCCAAGCACAAGAAGAAGATCATGAAGATGGCGGCTTACCGGTGCTCCTCCTCCGTCCACGGGACGCCCTTCTTCCGCTCCTGGTCGGCGCGCCCGCGCTTGAGGCAGTAGCCGCGCCTGAACCCGCCGGCGCCGGCGGCGCCGCCGTCCCAGTCCAGAGTGAACCCGGACGAAGGGGACGAGCTGTCGTAGTGAGGAAACGGGACCAGCCCGGCCTCGATGAACCCGACGTCGTTCTCGAGGGCCCGGTAGTGGTTCACCACGTCGGCGACCGTCTTCCTGGGCAGCATCAGCGCGACCATCTCCCACCGGTCCGGCGCGTCCAGGTCGATCGCCGCGAGCGCCTCCTCGAACACCTTGTTCTCCTCCAGTGTCCAGGCGCCGCCTCCACGACGCTCTTGCTGTACGGCCCAGCACGGCTGCCCGGCGAAGTAGGGCGCCGGCGGCGGCAGCACGTCCACCCACGCCTCCGCCATCATGTCGGCTCTAGTTGCTACCTGAGCTGGCTTAAGGGCGGCGAGCAATGGAGGAAGGCAGGAAAGTGGCGAAGGGGAGAGGTGGAAGGAGGCATGCCTATATAGGGGAGGACCGGGGGAGTATCAAATTCCGGGCGGCTACAAAAAGTGGCCGGAGTTTATTCCGCCTCCACCGTTGGAGGCCTTGAGAAGATGAGCAAAAAGAAAGTGGGTGCTTGTGATTGGGCCTTGGTGGAGTTTGTGGCCTCTCAACCAAGCACAAGAGGTAAAGAGGAGAGTGCTAACTAATGGTAACAAGATTCAGTTTTGTTGAATATATGTCTTGCTTTTTCAGACATGTGTGAATTATTTTAACCGAAGGAATTGATTTTTGTGACCAATCACTAGGGGGAGATGATCCCTATCGAATGCATTATTCAAAGGCGACCAAATGGCAAGCTTTGCAATTGTGTGCTAGTGTGAGGAGAGGTATTGACGCTATGATATGGAGGCATCCTTCTTAGAGACGTTTTCATATCTGAAAGTTCAAAGAGTGAAGTCACTAGCTAAATTTCTAGCGCTAGTCCTTACGGAGTGGAGTTCGTTGCGAAAGACAAATGTGTTTCTGGAATCCCAAATATTCCATAGCAAGGAGAGAACAACCGACGACCAAATATCACCATGGAGGTCCAGCAGCGTGGGGACATCCCAAATGAGCTCGATGGAGGACGGTACCGGGAGGAGTAGGGCATCCTAGGTCTGGATGGCTGCGGGGCATTAAATGAACATGTTTATTGTGGCAGACATAATGCAAAGTACAAGAAAATCTTGCACCACATAGAATATGTGCCTCCCTTTTGATAGTCGTAGGTACCGAAACATAAGCCACCATCTCCTGCCTCTCCATCCCCGCTTCCCCTTGCCGCCGCTTGAGACTAGTGGTCGCCCTAAACCCTGACACTGGTCAATGAAGGTGGCGGTAGGGAGGGCTTTCGTCTGGTAGCCCTCAATGATGAGATGCAATCTATGAATGGTGGTTTAATGTAGAGGGCATGGTTGTGTAGTAGCAGCGGTGGATATTCTGTCCAGGTCAGTGGTCTCTGGTGGCGAGATGTCGGTGGCCACAATCATGTCTCTAGGTATATGGGCGGCAGCATCAGCCTATTATGTCCTAATATGGCGGTTCTCTGCTCGTGCGCGCAGGTGATGTCTAGTCCTGCTCTGCTACGCAATTGCAGTGACGGTACGGGGGATCTTGTATCTTCATAATTGGCGGCAACGACTATTATGTTCTGTCGCCACAGACATAACCACGGAGCATGAGGACAGTGTGAGGTTACCGAAGCCCTCAATTGGGATTTTGGCGTTGTCATTGACCTTTCTATCTCGTCAATCTCCGTCACATGTGCAACGACAACCTTTATTATTCGAGCCTTTGGTGTCGACTATATCTTGTTGTGGCTGGATTGCCTGCTTGTGCGAGCATGGTCACTTGTGTGGCATTTCATGTCTAAGACCGTATTGCGCATGTAACTATTGGGATAAGAAAGTGGTGGTGACAACACATGATGACTTCGATTTGGCGGTGCTTCTCAAGTATCGATCCCGAGCTCCAGGCTGACCCGAGGTCTGGCCCTAATTGGTTATACCTGGCAATGTGTCATTACCTTGTTGAGGCATTGCTCCGATTTGCTGGGACTTAATCTTCAGGGTAAAAACTCAAGATCAAGCCTTCGTTGGGTGGATTTGGCGACCACGATGCTTGAGCGTCGTTCCCACCTGAAGTCGTTGTTGTTGAAGACAATTCCTCGTTATACTTATGATGTCAAGAGATGATTGATGCATATACGGTTGTTAATGTAGATTGTTGATCATCATTTTGGTCGCTTTGAAGTTAATCAATCTAAGCTTAGCTTAGGCTTGTATGACTTTGTTATTTGTCAATGTGATTTTGTCTGTGTGTTGATGTTGATATTATGCATCCTTGTTATGAAGGGGTGGGGTATGTGCTAATTGTGTTTGTATCCCCTAATGATTCATTCTAAGTCAATTAAATCCATTTTTATTAAAGGATGTGATCAAGTATTTAAAATAGAACATATCAACAACAAAAAGGCAAAAAAAGAAGAAGCAAAACTCAAGGATGCAAAGTGGTAGAGGCACACTCGTGGCGTGTATGTGTGTCTGGTGGCGTGCATGTGCACGTGCGCTTCTACCTTGCATAATCTTTTTTTTTGAAACGGAGCCAAAAGTTTTGCCTAATCTCATTAAATAAGAAGAGAATAACAAAGTATGTTTGTTACATGACCACAAAGGTCAAACAAAAACACAAGGGATCACTCTCCCGGTAAAATGTCACCCAATAACTTTCCCTCTGCAAGTACCCATAGTCTCGCCTCCGTCCTAATCGACGCAACGGCACGTGTGGGCAAAGAGGCCTTATTGCGAAACACTCTCACATTCCTCTCATTCCAAAGTGCCTAGCATACTAACATCTTCAAAGAATTGTAGGCCTTTCTATTGACGCCGAAAAGGCCACCCCGTTCATTCCACCATGTTGCCACCGATGGAAGTGTGGCTCAGGCGCTAACCTATGATTGCATCCCTAGCCATGCAATTATCACCCCTAAATCCTGACAGAGTAGCGACATTTGAAGATAAGATGTGCCCCCATTTCCGATTCTCTTTTGCACAACTGACAAAGACCATAGTTTGGCCAACCTCTCTGAGATAATCTGTCCGCCATCCACACTCGATCCAGCGAATGAGCCATGAGAAGAATCTGATTTTTGGTGGAGCCCATATTTTCCAAACCATCCTTGGCATATCAGACTTTATCAATCTTGCGAATTGCATTCTGTAAGCTGTGGCGGCAGAGTAGCATCCATCCATAGTAAATTTCCATTGAATGATATCCTTAGTTTTGACCACTAACTGCACCTCCTGAACCTTGACCCATAAGTTGAAAAATTGTTGAATGAGGTCAACGGTGAGACCCTCTTGCATGTCAATGTGACGTACCCAATCATTGTTCGCTAAGGCCTTGGAGACACTTGATTTAGTTCATTTGAGATGGCAAAGATGCCCGATGCAATGTCTTTCGGCTTTTGCCCTTGTAACAAGGAGCAAACCAGAAACTCGTCAACCCTTCGTCACCCATAGTGTAGAAAAGATCCTGGTCTTTGTCATCGCAAGGGGTGTCAAAACCAACCCACGCTTTATGTGGATTGGTCCACTGAAACCACAGCCAACGCAGCCTGAGAGCCCTGGCAAATTTGTCTAGATCGAGAATACCCAAACCACCTGTAATGCCCCAGACACACTCGTCGGCGGTCGTTACTCCTGGCAGGATCTAGACTGGCCCCACAAAACAATACTAGTCTTTCCCGCGCACTTTATCCTCACACGTGCGCACCCGGGAACAACTTCTTGGTCGGTCACCCATCCTGAAATTACTCCAAGCCGAGCATGCTTAACTTTGGAGTTCTTTCCGAATGGGCTCCCGAAAAAGTTGGAATTCTTTATTGATATGAGTAGTCTATCAACCCTATTAAGTCAAGCTATCACATACACCCCCACCCAGAGGAACCGACGTCCTCATCGGGCCATAGGAACGTTCCCTCTTGGCACATACGTCTGGGCTTCCAGTCCGATACATGTGTCATTGAATGAACATGCGGTGCCCCCATGTTTGGTTTTGGTAATTGATGACAATATCTATGGACCAATGGTTGCCTTGATTTATATTTGAAGGATTTGTCCATAGGCTTTTCTTGAAGTCCATTTATTGGTTTTAGGGAGTTTTGTGTGTTGTCCAAGGTTCTATTCAAGGAATTGTCGAAAGATTCGTCATGGAGAAGACATGATACAAGGTTGATCAAGACTAAGTCAAAGAATGAATCATGCATACAAGATGTATCGAGAGGGGTCAAGTGATTTCATGGTATGTTAAGAATTATCCATTACGCTTTGTGTACTAAATCGTGGTCTATGTGAGAGTTGTTTGTGGGGTTAGGTATGTTTCCATGGTCGTGCATCAAAAGGATGATATCATATATCCCATGGAGGATGACATCAAGTTGTGATCGTCATCAAGATTTGTAAGTGCATCTAGTGCCCCTTAGTGATTTTGGTGTATTGAAGACTTATAGGTTAAGGGACTAATGCGTTTGTGAGTGTACACAGGTCTATAAGTCTATGTGGAGTTTGATATTTACAGAGAAAGTCGACCCCTAAAAATGAAGTTCTTCAACTGAAGACTTTGATATTCTGAAGACTTTCTGAAGACTTTGGAAGTGAAGAAATTGGTGTGACCTTGAAGACTTGGTATTCATTTGTGGAACATGAAGCGTGAAGACTTTTGTTTTCGTAGTTTCATTTTCTCTTTCTTGAGTCATAGGAAACACCGTACTGTTAAAGGGGGTCGAGGAAATACTAAGGAAAAATTTCCATGTGATGCTCAACTCAAAATCCTACACCTACCAATCCCTTCGAGTGAAGCCTTTGGAAATCTCATACAGTTCAGTCACTTTCTTCAGTGACAGAGACGAAGTTCTTTTGGTCGCTGATGAATTTGTTCTGACTGAGGAGTTAGGAATTCGTCAGTGTGAATTACCTACACAGTGAGGAACATGATAGCCCTGAGGAATTTTAGATTCAAATTTCCGACCGTTGCTGTGTTGAGTGTTTGTTCATATCTGTGTTTGAAGACTTTGACTGAAGACTTTCTCAATTTCCTCAGTTCAATTTCTTCAGTTTGTTTGTCTTCATCTTGTGTTATCCTGTGATTACGCTTTCTGTACTCTGTGCTAGTCTTCATTTCATCATGATGACCATGCTTGTATTCTGTTATGCTTACTTTTGAGTACTTATTCCGCTGCTAATAGTTCTTCGCTAAGGAATTTCCTCACCGGCAAATTCCTCAGTGAAGAATTCATAAAAATCGCCTATTCACCCCCCCCTCTAGTCGACATAACGCACTTTCAATTGGTATCAGAGCAAGGTACTCCCTTGTTCTGTGTGAT